GCGTTCTGGGGCGGTGGAGGCGAGGAACAACATAACGCCGCATGCGGCGAGGCCGACGATGACAATGAAGATGCCTTCAAGTTCGACGAGGCCGGACACAAAGAAGAAGAAAAAATCATTGTTTCAAATATCAAGACAAGTGTCCTCCTACAGATCTAGAAGGAAGACCGTTGACTTGGGAATGAATTTAGGCCCTAATACCATGTTGAAATTCAGAATAATGCAGAATTTTTATTGATATAAAATTGGTATAAATAACCCTTACATGAATCCTAGAATAGAAAAGACAAAAAAATGGTAGTAATAATATAAAAGGAAAGATTTAACTCATAATATTTCCATTTAATCAAATCATATTAATTATTTTAGAGATAAAAGAAAAAACATAAAATAAAAAAACCTAAAATAAGAAATGGAATAGATCCAATTCAAAGAAATAAATATAAAATAGGAAAGTAAATAACTCCTAATAAAAAAAAACTTTATTTCTCATAATTTCTCACAAGAATAAATTATTTTTAAGTATAACTCCTAACAAATACAACTTTTGCTTAACTTTTAAAAGTGAAATAAAACTTTTTTGTATAAGTTTATGACAATGAAGTGTGATAAACATAAATATCAAACTTTAGAGGAGTGAAATATGTAAATACATAACATTGTGAGGTATATATGTAAATTTCTCAAAAATAGAATAAAAGACTCTGCATCTGCGTAAAATTTTGTATTGCCTGCAGTCAAGTTTTTGTAGCATTCATATATTAATAGGCCTAATGGCATTGGAGCAAAATATTAGAGAATATTAACATAAAAGCTTGTGGATTTTGTTCATCTTCGTATAGAATCTGAGCACAACTCATTTGCACAGCATACGCATAACTTGGATGAGAATATTCTCAGAAAATTTTGATTGTTCATTATGACAATTATAAGCTTTTCACTTATGTTAATAAGAAGTTTGTGAAATTTAGAACTTGTGATAATGTCATGGTGCCTTTAACTCCCGTTATAAATCTTCTAAGAAATTGAATGCACAAAAGGCATGACCATTCAAAATTTTACAAAGCTTCGGAACCAACAACAACAGATAGAGAATCCCGAAGAAACTCTAATATTAAATCAATTTTTAATATGGTTGATTTGACCTTATTTAATGAGCCCACTGTGAACTTCTTAATTTTTTTTTATT